ACCATTGAGTTCCAGTGAACTCCATATATATATATATATCTGGAATGATAACGACAATACATTTTATAGATAAAAAGTTGAAGCCAAAGTCCTAGTCTCTTGCGCGGTTTGTACGTCAGTTCCAGTCCGTCAAAGTCGAATATTCACGCGGTTTGTACGTCAGTATCATTCCCCTGAGTGCCAAACATACACGGCCAATATAAATTTGAATACAAATTGCGAAAGCATAAACATATAAACAACATCACTACAAACAACACACGAGGCTAATTCCTCGCAAAAGGCTATTTTTTACAGCTGAAACTTTACTACAGTGAGCTCGTTGTAACTTATAACTTGTAACGAGGAAAAGCCAACTGAAAATTACACTGTATGCTAAAAAGACAATACAATAGACAATATGACGAGAAAATATTCAAGCATAAATTTTTCTTTCGTCGGAAGGTAAATTTTCAAACGGTGTCAGACAGTGTTTGTCTTTTTTTTGTCATTTCAGTGGATTTAAAGATCTTTTTTTCCGAAGAAAAAAGAAACTTGAATATCCAGTTTCATAAAAAATATTGAGTCTATAACTCGCATTTTTACTTTTTACAGAGCGATTGTATTTTTAGTCGATTTTGATAGTGATTGAAATACTAAATGGTTGTCATCTCGATATCAAAAATTGAATATCCTTAAAGACTTTGCATTTCATTTTTTTGACTCTGAAGATGACTACCGCTAAGGTTGTCGAAACGTCAGTCAACAACAACAAAAACAGTCCTTCTCAGGACTATACCAACCTGGACGATCTACATTTACAAACATGTAACGATACTCCCGGGTTTGAACCAAAGACTTTGATATGTTTTAAAGGAAAACCGCAGCGTAAGAGCAGATCGACTAAGTTCACCTCATCTTGCTTCTCGATTTATCACTTTGATTCACTTTCCGTGAACCTTTTCATTCCAAAATTTCGTTATTTTACGCTCTGATCAAGATCCGAACTCTACCATTACCAAGGGACAAATGATTTAAAAAATTAAAATGAGCACGCGAGAGACTAGAGCCTGACGTGTGATGACGAAGGATGACAACAAATATTTTTGGCTTCAATTTTGGCTTCGGTTATCATTCCAGTTATTCAAATGTCGAGTTCACTGTTGAGTTCTATAATAACTGGAGCGGCTAACTTTACTGGGGCGAGGATGCCAAAAAATGGCGGCCAAAGGACGTATTTCCGCTGAAATGATCGCTTTGCAGAAAAATAATATTCTCGACCTCCCCCTGGTGTCTATAGTAAATTATAAAGAATTTTTCAAAACAAACACGATATCACAGAATATGGATATCGTTAGTTCCATATTCTGTGAGTCATTTCTTTTATAATGCCAACACTTTAATCGTTCAATTGTTGGATGTCGTAGTTTCCACAAAAAGGAACATATCGCTTCTCACAGGTGAGGTAGTTGTTTGTTTTGTTAGTCCGTCAACGATTGAAAAGCAATTATACATGCACTTGAAAAGCCATAAAATACATATTAAAGATCGTATTTTTAAGACTGACTTGAACGCCAAATATACTGATGTTTTCCTGTTTTGTTTATAAAATTCTGCATACTTTTCTGTCATTTGTTAATGCATGAAATCGTAAATTTACCCATTTATTTGCAAAATAGTTTCTCTAAAGCAAAAAAGACCCTGCACACATTTTGCTCTGTGAGTAAGTATCAAAAAGAAATGATCAGCCTCAACGGTACCCATGATTTGGAGCAGAGCTTTCTATGTTCTATTTGCTGACAACATGCAGGGAAGATCAAGGAGTAAAGATGACTGGAAGATGTTATTGACCAGGCAGAGTCTTAAAAAATTATAATGCTGTAAAGATAATTGATTTATTGTCTGCCCTATCCAGAGTTATTTAAGTTGATCGTGGTCAAATTCTATGGATGGAGACAATGGATTCACTAAGGATGCCTTGAATGCTTTGAAGTTAAAGTTCATGATCCAAAGAAAGATGGCAAGAAGGTTGTGTGTGTTTTGATGCTTAATGAAATGTCAATTCACAAACATGTAAAATGGAAGGCCATAAAGTTTGTGTCTATGTAAACATTTGTACTGAGATTGATGATGACTCGATGCAGATGTGAAGCTTCAAACTGTATAAGCCATTGGGTTTTATGTAACTTAATGTTTAAATCATGTCATATCTTTATCAAAATATTTTAGTTGAGTGTTGTTTGAATGTTACTAATGCACTATACTGAAGCATTAAAGATTCAGTGATGAAACCTTTAAAGTTACTGTACTGTATATTTCTTATATATTTCTTATATTTCTTTAAGAAAAATTTGAGCTTATTTACCTATTAGAGTACAGAATGGAGATTTATCATATGCATTATTGCTGCTTTTTTAAAGAAAAGTTTTTCACTTTTCAAAGCTTTTCTACAAATTTTTTGCTTCTTATTTCTTATGATGAGATTGATGATATAGAGGTAATATAATCCAATAACTTTCTAATTTCTAAAAAGCTTTTAAGCTTCTAGCATAAAAGTACACTATAGGTATGTAATTCATTTGGTTTTATTGCCTTGCTATGACATATCTACTTGTATGAACAAAACACCAGATGTGGATACTCAGAGAACAAAATGCACTACCAACTTCTTATGAAATTTATTATTGAGGTGAAAACTGTGTTAATCATTCAAATTATAGTGCACTTTTATTGCAAATATAGGAAAAACAAAACAAAGTGAAAAAGAAAGGTAGAAGTATTAAAACTACAAATGAATTATAAACACCATTGGAAGCATAAGTGTTTTGATGATTATTTGCATTTTGCCCAATTCATATATCAATACAACAAAATCAAAATGTGCTACAACTTTACAAGTATTTGTTGCAGTTGCACTTCAGAACGTCACAAAAAGGTTACTTAAAGTAATTTCTATACAATATTGTTTGTTTTTATTTACCAAACCTATGCAGACTTGAGTCTTTTTGAAATTTCATATGAAACTCAATTACAGAAAATCCGTAAATATCCGGAGATTTAATATGTACTTTTTTAAAGAAACAAGTAAAAATCCTACAGTTGTGGCGAAAAACGCCATTGCCCATCGCATGAAAAGAAGCAAAATAGCAATGATAACAAATAAGCTAACTTCTCTCTCGTGAACCGTGGAGATGAACTATGATATACTTTTTTGTATAGACTAAAGAGTTTAATCGATCAAACAAGTTTGACGCTGGTAAGAAAACGACGCACATCTGCATTCATACATGTGTAGCCGACATATAGGTCTTTCGTCGATAGTTATAAATGCATCCTCGTAGGAGCAGATAACTGACAACCACAGTTGACTCGCTGTTATGAATTTAAGGTTTTTACCTTCATTTTCATCAAAAAATTGCTTACCGAATCCCAAATACACACATACATTTTCCTCACTCTTTCCTCAGGAGGGAGTGGGAAATTGTGAAATTTTAGGAAAAGCGGTCAGTTTCGGTAAATCTCAGCGGCAAAGGACGAAATCCGCCATTTTTTTGGCGTCATCAGATATCTAAGGCCGCGCTTGAGATAGCCGCTCTAGTTATTATAGAACTCAATGGTTTTAACTTTTAAATATGTTTATGTCAAGATTTCAATTGTAGAATGATTATTATATATACTACTGAACATTGTGTACAACAAGACAACTGTCAATAAATGAGTTGTCAAGAAAAGCGAACCTTAAGAACCAAGAATAGCATGAAGCTTTGTTTTACACCACTGTATATGACAGATCATTCTCAATGAAATGCATCAAATTGCAATATTGCTACATAAACACAATGAGGATGGACATTTTGGTGTTCAAGAAAACAAGATTTAATTAATTATAAATGTTCCAAATGTGCACAGCAATGTAATTATATCTTACAATACCTGTGCCAGGCCTAAATATCATACAATGATAAATAATCTTTTGAAAATTTCACTGTTTGATTGTAAACTGTTTTCTTCTTTAAGATAAATCCCATTTCACCACCTACCTATGCTGTCATGACAACAACAATGAATCAAGAAGAAGGTTTGAAAGCTTTGGAAACATCTATCAAAGCCATTGAAGAAGTCATTATGAACAAGAAAGGAACATTTGTTTTACAACAAGCTGTAAGTGTTTGGTTTATATTTCTATGAAAAGTATATTGTATCACTAAAATGACATCCCCCTGGTGCCTCTACTGTCTTCATATCATCCTGTTACCATTTCCCTAAGTACCCCATGCTGTATTAAGACGGACATATTCAATCATTATTCGTTTATTTGAAATTTACAAAGACACCATCCCAATGCATTGAAATCAATAATATTAGGACCCTGTGACATTGGCAATAATTTATGTTAACTGTCCACAAAAATTAGTTTTTCCTAAAGCTACTTATGCATTGTGATATCATAACGATGTTTTTTGCATATTGAAGAAAAGTTAAGTGTCTTCAAAACAAAATAAAATAACAAAGCACATGTTCACACCATTTACCCAATGTCTGTCTCATGTTTGCTTTCTCTGACTGTGTAACTATTATCAGAAGGACATCACTTGAGTCCATTGGACATTTTGCACACTTTTATGATGTATGAAAGATTTGAAATCATACAACTGACGTATGTTTAATGAGCTGCTGTTTTTTGCAGCGTCAGAGAAAAAAATAAAACAAGCAGAGTTTGTCATGTTCTTATTCAAGTAGTACTTTATGTTTAACTTAGGAGCTAAACATGTTTCATACAAAATGTTTTATGGTTTTTGATTTGTTGTATGAAATGATCTTTAATATGTATTACATATAATTGAACAACTGTTTTTCTATTGTGTCTGTTGACATAAAATTATCAGTTTTAACAGAAATATGCATTCATTGAGATCAGAAATGTAAAAATTTTAAAATGATTTGAACTTATTCACAAAAGAGGTCATTATTATATTTTATTATCCTAAATAACATTTTTATTTGACTTGATGGGGTACTCTAGGAAGCACGGCAAATTTTTGCCTCGTGCTCGATGGTAATTATCGGAATTAGCGGGAAAAAACTACGTCAGAGGTCTGGTACCGACACAGAGACGCGATTCTTGTCATTTCTTTCTGGATAGTACGCCGTCCATCGAAGCTCCTCAGTTCGTAGATATACAAAAATTGCCAAATACCAGCTGTTATCCTTCTGTAAAAGTAAGTAAACATTCTTAGTTAACGTTAGAATGGAGTTTTGTAAATTTTGATGAATTCAGACAACAATATTCGTCGTCGTTTCCATAATGAAAGCGAAACCAATGAAAAATGTATTTGTAATTGCAACTATGTTCAACGCATTTGGGTATAATTGTGACAGTTTTCATCATACAAAGAAAATTGTACTAGGCTGTCGTCAATAGCTTCAAATATCTATTTTTTTGAACGGTTTTATGCGCCGTATCCAGGTATCAAAACGTTGACGACCTAACATCTATGTACTTATTAGGAACGTGAAAATATTTAAACCAGTTATAACCAGGAGGCGTCAATTTCCTAAACACTTAACACTTTAAACATCGAAACTTGTTTATAATATTTAAGTTACGCTTAAGTGACAATCGTGTGATAAGTTTTGAAGTATGTATTGGCTCTTTTGCCTTGATTGTAACAAATCTATTGCGCACAAAGGCATATAAAGTTCCCTTGAGTGCAAATAATTTGGTGTAAAATTATCGTTTTAAAACTTTCAAAGTCGTTATTATGGATCAAAAATTACTTTGTAGCTTGTTTTTTAATACATTCTGAATTTTTTGAAAATAATTAATTCATTCTTTGGTATTTGATTATAAATGATGTAGCCACACAGCACAAGTGTTCATCACTTCCTCTTAGCTGTGGTTCATTGGAGCATGTTACATTTGATTTAACTTTTCCGTTTGATATTTCGAAGTTTTTGCAATAGTTGAAATGTTTATCGTAAGTCACGATAAAATTTACTTATTCGTTGGATGAAGAACTATCTCAACAAAAATTTCAATTACATGAGTCAAAATTACGCAAAATAACGTTTCCCACAACGGAAGTTTCATGTTTGTACCAAAATATGCACAACACTAAAAATACATACTTTTCCGCTAGATTCAATGTCGTGAAACCTTCGTATTGCGATTCCTTCATAAGCTTTGAAGGAATTTTAATGCAAATAAATAAACGTTTACAAATGTAGCCATTGTGAATGTATCGACGTTCTCGTTTTAATTATTTAAAGGTTTCTAAATAATGTTATTCATTTTTTCAGTGTATTTTTGTAAGAGTATCTATGATAAAATAAAGATATGATCTTATAAACATAAGTTAGAAAACATTCTTTCATAAGTATCTACGATGTTCTTTAGAATGCCTCCGTGTTTATCAAAATCAATAATGAGAGACGTCTACACCATTTATCCACAAAAGAATAATGCTGTACCACAATACAACCAAACGATCACTGCTATGTTCCAAAAAAGACCTGAGCGAAGTCCTTTCGCTAGACCTGATATGTACGATATTGTGAGCTTGCTTTACATTTCGAATGAGTTGGTTGAAAAAGAGATGATGAAAAGTGAAGGAGAAAATGCACTCTCGTTTATTCTGTCTCATCTTGATGACCAATCAATGACAGTTTTACTTGGAACCTACATTAAGAAATTTTTCAAATGTACTATATTTACGAATGACGCCTTTCCTCTTTTTCCATACAATGAAAACTACCTAAACGGTTGGTTTACGCAGAATTTTTCACATTGTAATGATGCAGAGGGCAAAACTAATCAAGATGTAAAGATTTTTAATGCAAGTAACAAAGATGAAGCAATTAAATATATCATCCAGTTTGAAGAAAGAAGAAGAATGAAATACTGAGTTATATTTCCATGGCACTGATCATTCGTCTGCTCAGAATATTCTTGAGAATGGCATTAAATTAGGTAAAGGTGGTGAAAAGTGTGACTTGTCGCATAAGTATGGTTTCTACATGGCAAATGATTATGAATACTCGTTAACGCAATATTCTAATATAACAGAAGCAGCCCTTCTCATTTTTTGTTTACGCCCAAATAATTTGAAAAGTTTCCAAGAATTGTATTTATGTGGTAAGAGCAATCAACAAGACTTTGTTTCAGTTACTCCTTACTTTAGGGCTGGAAAGATAAGCTGTAAAGGTTCCATGAGCAGGGAACTATTTTCGGCATTAGAAGTGCGATTATATCAAAAGTCCAATTTCATGCGATGTTCGTTCAGCAGGTGACCAAAGGAAAGATATTCTGCAGGTTTGTGTAAAGAAACACAAAATGGCTGAGACAATGAGCAATAGACAAGACTTTCTTTCAGTTACTCCATACTTTACGGCTGGAAGGATAGACTGTAAAGGTTCCATGAGCAGGAAACTATTTTCTGAATTACAGAAGTGCGATTATATCAAAAGTCCAATTACAAGTGATGGTCATTCAGCAGATGACCAAAGGAAGATATTCTGCAGGTTTGTGTGAAGAAACACAAAATGGCTGAGACAATGAGCGGTTCTCCGTTATTGGTGGGTGCAGTCTTTATAAAGCCTGATTCTGAAGAGAACAATTCGTTGTTGGGTTTTGATTCATTTGCATATTGAAAACAACATTTTGAATCTGATGCTTAGCAATGGCCTGTTCATGTGTATTTAACTTCTTCAACTGGGAGGCAACAAGCATTCCAAATAAATCATTTTAATCTTTTTCCACATTTTTTTTGTTTTGATGCTTAATTGTTTTCTGCATTGTACGAAGAAACTGTATTTCTTCTTGCTCAACATCAACTTTTGTCTTTGACCACTTTTTATGTCGAGTTGTATCAGATATATCAGTAATCTTATCATCAAATACTTCATCTGGCTTTATTCGTTGACAGCCATTGTCTTCATTTAGTAAGCTGACTTGCTCAATTTCATCATTGGTTAACAAACTACAATTACTTGTCGAGCCGCTGCCGGTATTTGATACTGACAAATTAGTTTTTGTTGCTCCAGACTTTATGTATGGTACTAACCACTGTAGAAAATTATAGTCCTTCAATTTTGTTTTAGAGGAAACAACAGCTGACAGAGATGTTCCAGATTTAGTTACTTTTTTTAAAGTTATTTCTTTGCTTGCTGAATCTTTTTTTTAAATTTTCAAACAATTTTTTGGCTCGCTCACCAATTATTAAAGTAAATGGTTTGAACCCGGGAGTATCGTTACATGTTTGTAAATGTAGATCGTCAAAGTTGGTATAGTCCTGAGAAGGACTGTTTTTTGTTGTTGTTGACTGACGCTTCGACAACCTTAGCGGTAGTCATCTTCAGAGTCAAATGAAAATTGTTTTACGTTCGAATAGATTCAGATTTTCTGCCACTTTTGCCCAAGCATTTGCCACGCCAAACTTGTCTTTATAATCTTTATATGTTTTATCATATAAGCAGGGAATCTTACGCACTTTCTCGGCCAATTTTCTGGGTTAAGTGATTGAGCACATGTTGAATCCGCCATTTTATACTCCAAAATTTTCATTCAAGATGACGTCATTTTGGCGATTAACGCGAATAAATATCAAAAATTATATCGCGGTTGTTAGTCTACGTTTATTGCGATTATTACCACGTTCCCATATGGGATTATCGCGTTTAAAGTTAATCGCTGTCGCGTTTTCGCGTTAAGCCTATAGTGGAACCAGGCTTTATAGATCAAAGGTCTCGACCAATGAAATTGCTCAAGTTCTTCTGGTGATTATATAATTATATATAGTCAACGGCGCGGTATATTTATAGTCTTTGTTATTGTGAATTGTGAAATTGGGAGTTGAGAGAATTTGATTTGAATTGTATTCAAAGCTTCAAATTTTCAACAATGACTTCACGAAAGCGTTGCTACAATGGATTAAAACATGCAAAACAACATATGATATTATTTTTCATTTTATTCGGCGTACTTTGTGGATTTTTACTTGGTTCTTTATTGCATGGCAATGTTCAGTCGTCCATAGATCCAACACCGAAGGAATATGCAATGTACGTGTCTTTTCTTGGTGAGATTTGGGTGAGAGCTAGACTTTTGGTTCTTCCTTTGATTGTATCCAGCCTGCTTTTGGTAGTCGCTGAACTGGAGTCAAAACAGAGCGGAAAATTGGGAAGAAGAACATTGCTGTATTATCTTATGACTACAATGTTTGGGAAGTAATTTGTTTATTTGCATTTAACCTGGAAATGTTAACGTGAAAGAACCAGAACCGAACGAAGAAAACGTTGAAGCAATACATTCTGTGCTTGATCTAACAAGGTTTGTGCAAAATATTGATAAATTTACTGAGTTTGCGCCCTTCTTTTGCTTTGAAATTACTCCTGAAATTCTGTTAATTGTGAAATGAAATACTGTAATGAACGGGCCTAGGAAGATATGAGATAAAAGAGAAGATAAAGAAGTAAAAATTTGATGGAAAATGGGTTAAAAATTAAGCAACAAACCGAACCTGTTCAATATTGTTCTGATTGTATTCAATTTTCAAGTTCTCCAATGTCGTAAGTTCACGATTCATTGACTGAAATGAAACGATTTTGAATCAGAAAATTTCAATAAAAAAACTTTGAATAAGATAAAGTTTAATGGATCTTTGAGTACACCACATGATAGATTGAATACACCACGTGATGGATTAATACATCACGTGATAGATTGAATACAACACGTGATAGATTATTTACCGTAAAAACGTGTCACATATACACAAAGTTACAAAAAAACTTACTCTTACTTCAATCTTATTATGGGCAACTTCCAACTCTACTTCTTTATCCTTTTCTCATTTGACACAATCATCCATTTGATGTTTCGTTTGTTTGTTTTTCACCTTACCAATTTCCTTCTTATGATGCTTCTGAATTTCCTTTATTTCAGAATCATATGTTTTTCTAACCTTGTCGATTTTCGTCTCCATTGTAACAGCTTCCACTTCCATCTCGCGTTTAACGTTTACATCTCTTCTTTTTCGCTTTTAAACCAAACATTTTCCTCTTTCAAAGAGTTTTTTAGCTTCACTATTTCCTGAAAATCTTTGCGCATCTAGAAGAAATAATTATTTGTTTATTTTTTTCATGAAAAAAAAGTGAACAAAAAAATTGGCGGAATCAAATGATCAGTAATCGACGTTGTTTAGTTTGATCAACGTCATACGTACGTAGACTTAAAATTTATTGAGTATCCATTTTCACCTTACCAATTTCCTTCTTATGATGCTTCTGAATTTCCTTTATTTCAGAATCATATGTTTTACTAACCTTGTCGATTTTCGTCTCCATTGTAACAGCTTCCACTTCCATCTCGCGTTTAACGTTTACATCTGCATCTACATGTACATCTACATCTACATGTACATGCACATCTACATTTACACCTACATGTATATGTACATCTACATTTACATCTACATTTACATCTACATGTAAATTTACATCTACATTTACATCTACATGTACATGTACATCTACATTTACATCTACATTAACATCTACATCATTTACATCATCATTTACATCTACATAATTTACATTTACATTTACATCTACATGTACATGTATATCTACATCTACATTTACATCTACATTTAATAATCGTACTAATGAACAAACTTACCAAATGAGCAATATTTTCCAGTGAAACCATGACGACATTGACATTTATAAGGATCAGAACCAGGTCCATCTTTCAAATCAATTATCGCTTTTCCATTATTTTTTCATAATTTCTTTATGTTAACAGGTGTCTATAAAAAAATATAAAAGCTTTTAGATGTTTATTGTGTTAGATTAAATCCAAACAAATTTACCTCTCTTTGAGGATTTTGTAATTCATAAAATGTCCATGATTAATCATTGCAATTCTGAATGTTGTGAAGCCGTTTGCTGGTCAACTGACAATTTACGTTTTCCATCGTTGTGTCTCTTCGAAAGTTCACTTCAACACAAAATGGTTCTTATAGACATTTCAATGAACATGATATAATTGATGGAGAATTTGTTTCAAGTAGAACATCTTTCATAACAGAGCATGTCTCTAAAAATGTGTCTTTTAGAATAGATTATAATTGCTGTTTTCTGTTAATAAAATACTAAAAAATTAGTTTATTAGGTTTCTTTTCATATTGTCTTTCTTTACACAGTAGGAAAGGTGATAGAATAATTACTTTCAAAATCTTTCAAAAGTAAATGTTTTGTTGACTGTCCAATAAAATTGGAGGATAGTGAGAGACACAGATAAAGTTAAGCTTTTATGCCTTGAACATGTCTTCCATGTCTATCGACGAAAGTTTTATGACGTTAAACTCTGCTTTAGAATGGTCATGCACGTCTTCGGCATGTCATTCATGTTTATTGATAAAAGTTTGATAGAGCCAAACAATGTTTTAAAATGATCATGAACGCCTTCAAAATGTCAAACATGTGTGTATGAATAAGAACTTTGATAGTGTTGAAGGCTGTTTAGAAAAAACAATCGTCGCAGGCGGCTGTGCGCCCTTCTGGTTACTAAAATGAATAATTCATAAGAACACAATTGTCGAAAACTTGACTATGATCGAAGTACAACCAAAATTATTTGATTTACATTCTTGATAAATCGATAACTTTTCTTCTCTTAATGTTTCACATGATCATGCCCCATAATTTCTTTATGCTGGGTATTTTTTGATAAGAGCCACTTGCTGCAGGTAACCAAATTTTAAATTATTATTTTCACATAAATAATGTGAGCTTAAATTTAATGCTGTGACGAAAGAAATCTTTTAAAATGTTTTAAAGTAAAACATCATAATCCGACGTTTTACCGATTGATAGTGAAAAATAAGACAAAACAATTTATCAGTGCTGCTAATGTCTGTAAGGGGGTGTTTACATGAATCCGGAATGACTTTCAATCCCGATCGAAACGTGATGTCAATCCGTGTTTACATGAAACTAATTGTTGTTTTTCTTCGCACTCATTTTAACCCATTTAGCCTCTTTATTTACTTACGAGCTTCAATTTGCCAGAAGGCAATACCCATGGCACATGCGTGCTTCGTCATTAATCACAATATCATTCCAGAATGAAACTCAATTCGCGTTTACATGAGATAAAAAGTAAATTTCGATCCGGAATGAAACTAGGAATGAACTCGATCCGGATCGAGTTGTGACTCATTCCGGATTCATGTAAATATGCAATAGGATTTCTTTTAAAGTGGATTGAGTTCATTCCGGATCGAAACTCATTCCGGATTCATGTAAACACCCCCTAAGTGGTGAATTATCTAACTATTAGTTGCCTTGGTTTGGGAGACGTTCACTGCTGTTTAAGAATGCTAGTAATCCAGTTGTACAATAAGAGTATTTAGTAATTAGTATACAACTATACATAATTTTATAATAGTATTGTTACTTTTTGAGAATCATTTATAAATTAGAATTTATTGTAAAAACTGAGTGATTTTCTTGCAGACCTTTTGCTTTTAATCTGCCGAGTTTTGTCACACTTACATAGTGCAGTAGGAATGTGTGTAAGCTTATTTCAAATATAATTGTGATCATTACTTGTAAGTTATATGATTTTTCATCTTTTATTCAATTCAGTAAACGTTGTGAACGTCTATATGATAATTTCATACGTGACTTATGTTTACATGGCTTCAGCCTCGTCAAGACCCCCTTTCCTCTAAAAAAATTAGCCTTGGTCAGCACTGGTCTGTATCAATAATAAAGGTCAACGTCTTAAAACGTAGAAAAAAACGTTTATTTACAAAGACTTTTTTGAATTTTGTACAATATGTTAAATTTATTCTCAAATTATTTTTTAATACCACCTCCGTGTCTTAAATGAAAAATAGAAATAAAAGTCACAAATTTAATGCATGAATGGCTGGAATTTTAGTCCCCCAAGCTTTTAAATGCAATCATTGATGTGTGAAAACAAAAATGCCAATTTAACGCAAATTCCACTATAATTTATGCTATCAATGACAAATATTTAACACCTCAATAACAACCTGCAAGTTTATTATGTCTAACATCTAATGGAAGCACAAGCAAGCGTTCGAAATTTTCTCTGTAATATGAAGTTTGTATTGCACTTGCCACAAAAAGACAACATTTCCTTTGAAATTATTCGCTTTGCGGGGCCCTCAAAATCGCTGGGCTCCTGGCAACTGCCTGGACGCCCTCCTCTTAATACAGCCCTACTTCAACCGTCCATAAAAATTGCGTATCAATTTCACATGCAGAGTGGATATAAGCTTTTTGAAAATAGTGGATTATAATTATTGTGTTTGATTTTCTTACTAAAAAGATAATTTGCATTTTTGGGTAACTTTACTTCTTATTGTAGGAAGGACTTTATGTAAGAAATACGAAACATACAGTTCGTCCAAACTCCAAAAATGGCGGGGTTTAGGAAGATTCTTTTGTTAAAATGTTTTCTTTCATTATTTGATTTATTTTTCTGTGAAAAACAACCTGATACTTTGAATGTTTTAAGCATCCTTCTTCCTTATTCTACGGCAGGCTCAGGTAACGTCAACTTTACTGTTTGGGCACAGAGTGGTTGCTATAAGTGGTTGCTATAAGACAGATGTGTTTACTTGACACTAAAATTAGCTATTTTCAGCTAAAAAGAGATCTTATATATTAAATATTTTATTTGGTGTGTGTAATCTCCTTAAATGCAAATGCAAATCGAAAATGCAAATGCCAATTGTAATCTTGTAATGTGATATATGTCATTGTCTAAATGTTTGTGTATTAATGAGGAAAGAGTAATTTCTCATTGTAACACAAGCACAAACATCTTGTATTAAAAAGATATATCTGCAATTTCAGCTGTAAGAGTGTCTCCCTTTCACTTCAATACATTTAAGCAAAGATCATGATTTTATCTGATTTTTTACTTTCAGTAACTTTCAATGTCATTTGTGCTGATGTATTGGTCAACAAAATAAATCGTATTCAAATCCAAACTACAACACGTGAACTTTTACTGGGAAAATCACCAGAAGTTCTTCAAGTCTTCGCTTATGGTGATACAGATAATTTATTTTCTTCAATTGATGGCCTTGTCTTTGACTGGCAACTTATTACTATTCCTGGATCTTTGGATGCCTCCAGCATATTAAGGTACGTAGTACAACTGCATCAATAATGTATTGTCATGTTAGATAAGTATAATGAGTGCTAAAAATTTTTTAATCACTTTGTATTTAGGATTGTCCCATTTGCTGAATCAATTAATGAAACCTCAGCTGCTATTTATGCTTTAGAAGCCGAGGTAAACTCTATGTTTACTACATTGCTGTTGTTGAAGTTGGACTTAACTCATGAAAATTGTTTATTTTAAGGGTTTAAGGGGGCAGCAGTATCATTGTTGAAGGCATAACAACAGGAACAGCGCTGGTCAGAGCAAAATTAAGTCATCCAACCTTCCAGGTTTGCTAAATATATAAATTATCGTTAATGTATTCACAACTTACACTAGACAGTTTAAGTTGTCCCATTTAAAAATGATTTAGGCAATTTGTAAATTGTTGCGTTTATTGTAAATTTTGTGGGTTATGTAAAGGATCGTACTTCGTAGTACTTAAGTCTTTCTTGGACAGCTTTATGCACGTATGAAACATAGTCCATACGTCGTAGATCAATTCACAAATCTAACAACGAGCCAGACAGTGTTGTTTTCCAATGTGCAAACAATTCACACGTATTCAAGAATTCCTATGTTATATAGTTTGTTACGTATTTTGAGCGTTTAATGAATTCTTATTTTCCTAAAATGGACGGATACGTACGTACGTCAGTCATAAAACATCCATAAAATGGACGGATACGTACGTACGTCAGTCATAAAACATCCATAAAAAATAAATCGGGGTGTTGAATTGTGAAAGAGAAAAGTCTTTCAGATCAACTTAAATTAATAGTCAAAGTTGGATTAAAGTTAAATTACAAGCTATATTTCTCCCTCTGGATAGCGCAATTTGATTTAAAAGAAGCAAAATTTTGTACATTGATTGTGTTCACGTTGTTGTATAATAAATATTGACGATACGTGATTTTAATTCTAAAACAAAAATGAAAGGATCACAGTCACAAAATCGTTCTGTGCTAGATTTAAAATGATCGTTATATATAAGAACTGATTTATTTCATGATAACTGTGACGTTTTTCTCTATGATTTGCATTGCGAGCGTGCAGCTGATAAGTTTAATGAATTGACTTTTTAGGTGTTATCCTTTTAAAACTTTAAGTCTTGAAATCAGTTATATCGACTAATTATTATAAGTCAAAAGATAAACGTTCTTTGAACCTGTGCAGTATCGTTCGATTTCTTTGTATCTTTTATGATAAATACTCGTACAAGAACACTTGCGATACATCGAGACATTTAAGCACTAGTTCATCGCGTGTTAACGTTTCATTGAGAGACTTAACTTGACGTCCAATATGTGCATGGCGTGCTTCTACATAACCATGGACATTACACTTCAGATTTTAAAGAGAAAATCGCTCAGCTTGCAAACCGTCGATTGTAAGACAAGAAGTGGTTATTTACACCATAAGCTTGTGATATGTTTTGTTCAAAATGTAAATTGAAGTCAATGGATGTTCTTCTCATAATACGTACGTGAATCAAAATTAAATTGGAGTCAAAAGACTGTGTTTTTTTTACATTGTCTTATCTTTGGATCCGTACTGTCAGTGCGACTTCTCTGCAATTTGCAAATAATTGTTAGAAACTTTATGTTATTTTTGTGAAAAGACTAATCACGTGAGTTTTGTTTTTTGGAGATGAAAATTATAACAATGTTCGTACGTAGCTTATAAGCGTATTTCCTTTGTTATGAAAAATAAAGCAAAAATATCAATCTGAGAGCGTGAGTAAATTAGAAAACTTCGAAGAAACGTTTCCTTGTTTCCGAAAAAATAGGAGAAAAGCTGCAATAACTGTTGCAATGTTTGGGTGGAATCAAAATGATGCAGTTTAATTATAAATAAAACATTTCAACTCAACATCGTCTTTTCATAAACATGGTTTTATTACGTATTAAAGTGCCCCAACTAACAAAATTTTTATTATTGTTCTTGAATAAAAATTTTAATTCGTCGGTCAAATCGTCGGCTTATTATAACGCTTTTTTTAAGTTGCCTTTTAATGAACCTTGTCCGTCGGTGTGCGAGGTGTGGGTCTAGCCTAATTCTGACGTCATCCAAGGTAGTTGGCATATACTTATTTCTCGTATTAACGAATCCTGTGCGTGACGTCACAAAGATTAGCTGCTCCAGGCTTGGGGCAAAGTCATTGAAAAATGTCGACGCTCAATTTAATCTTTACCATAAAACAGAACGATTTGACAAAATTAGAAACTTTTCCATTTATCACACTAAAATGTAATATCGCAAATGGAATTTATTGCTGGAAGGAAAACTCTAAGATTATTTAATGATGTTTCTTGTATTTTTACGTTCATGTTGTCTTTTAGGATGTTCAATCTGACGAAGTAAAGTTATTGGTGATTGATAACTTAATAATTCCATCGAGGGATGTCTACATTATGATAAATACTGCTGTCAAATACACAGTCAAAAGATTTCGACAAAACGCTATGATAGGTAAACATAATTACATTTCTTATTCCCGTGCTGTCGTTTACTTTAATAATACCAATGATTTAAGAAAAGTATTTGTACAATTAAAAATTGTAAAACATCATTTTATCATTAGATGTCGAAATGCCGTCAACACAATTTGAGTTTGTTCTAAGCAATACAACTGTTGCAGTTCTTCATTAAACATCATCTAATTTTATTGGTCGTGTTCTTGGTTATACACAAGTTACCCTCGTTGATAAAAGTATCTTTTTGTGTGTACTTCTGGACTGAGGGGTAGGTTTTTGTTCTTTGGTATGTACAAGTCACCCTTGTTGATAAAAGTATTCTTTTGTGCACACCATGGACTGGGTGGGTTGACAATTGTCGCGCGAGGGGAGGGGGGAGGCTGGCTAACATTTATAGATGCATGTTCTTTATTAGCTTCTCTTAAAATCATTGTGTATGTACGTATTTCTGTTTCACTGTACAATACAATAGACAGCATGTACTTATGGTACGTCAGTAGATACTTGTAGTACATTACGTAGGTACTTTTATGGATACTTTGGTTTAATCTTTAACGTTATGATGAGACATGAAAGATCAAATATCTACAAGACAACCAACAGCTTATATTTATGTTGATGAACCTCATCTAGGTAATTCTTGAATTCATAACTGTTTAAAATGATTATGGACGTCGTGATTTGCACGTGTTTGATTCATTATTGAAGCGTGTTCGTGAGACGTCACTGAGCGCAAGTTGTGACGTTTGCAAGGCAAAACTTTTGGCGCCAAATTTTGTTTTCAAACACGAAACGACGTTAAAATTTCAAAACTTGGTCGAAGAAATTGCGTTCGAAAAGTTTTTGGAAAAATTGTTATTGATTTCATTGAATGAAAGAGTTAAAGCACATTTACCTGTGACATTTTACACGAGTTTTACATGTTTAAGTTTTGTTTTGTAAAATATCATTGATATTTTCAGCTTAACGTTTATAGAAATCTCACAACTCTCTCGTATTAACTTGAACATTTGCTAAGTATTTGAAAACCACATCAATAGTCTTATGAAAGAAATCTTCAATTTTCGTGCGTTGCTTAAGCTGTTGTTACTGTTGCTTCATCACGTAAATATTTATCACATAAACTCAAGAAAAATCAAGAAAGTTTTCATGTAATGTTAACATTGAGATGATTCCGTCTCTATGATTTTTTAGGATTTTCTATCACTTCTGGCGATGTTTGGATCTTAGAAAGTAAACGTGAATATTTTGTCACAGTGAACGTCTTTGACAAACTTAATCATAAACTTTATGTTGGTGGTAACATTCAAATCACAACTTAATTTCCAAAATCGCATTTCGATGTTTCTTATTCATCTGATAATGGATCGTATCATGAGACGAAGACGTTGACCAGTGGGAAAATAGTGCTGCGTGCTGTACTGTCTAAGATTACGGTAACAATTTGAATGTTTTGTGTTGTGTAGTTGACTACCATACATATGTACTACTATGTAATGGATATTTGTATGGATTACAAAGTTTATTTTCTCACTGATCAGATTTAAACGCTCATACGTAAATCATACGTAAATGCCTTGTACGGTAGGTCGTTATACTAATAAAGTGAAGGATATCACAGTTTGTTTCATTATTGTGGAGAAGTTGATGCCAGCTTCTCAATAATGATTTTCATATCAATATTATTGTCAAGTTATGTAAAGTTCACTTACTCCATTTTATAGTCAATTATCACTGGAGAAAATGCGGTCATCGATACTCCCGTACGTGGTAAACAAGATGTTATTATTTATAATCCTGTCACCGTGACACCTGCTGTTTTGGCGTTTCCATGGATACTAAATGGTAGGGATCATTACAAATACCAACTTGAAGTATGTACATGAACCTAATTTACTGCATGTTGGGATGGAGGAAGAGGATTTGACATAAAGAAATTGCTGCTGTTTTCGCTTGCCAAAAGTTTAACCAGTTATTTTACGTAGATCACGTTGTAACCAATATAAATACTTCATGTAACATTGTGCATTACCTTTTTAGGCCACAGGGGGAGTGGACAATACTCGTGGCCTTCTGATGCTACGACCATTGCAAGTGTCAACATTCGAGGTCTTCTCACTACGACTGCTGACACTGGATTCACTATTGTGAAGGCTCATGACACTGAGAATTTATTGCATTATGTTCAATCAAAGGTGTGTATGCGTAACTTGAAGAAGAAAACTTTAAATGGTTGTTTTTTAATTCACTTGTTGTATTTTAGGTTTATATATTGCCTCCGGACAACTTAAAGTTTGTCCCCTCAAGAGTTGAAGTTGAAATTGGTACAAAGTTAAAGATTCCTGTGTCTGCTGCTGCATTTTCTTTACCAGGTTTGTTGTAGATACGTATATTGTTTAACAAACATTTAATGTTTAGAATCAGTTATACGTAGTTCATCCTTTCTTTCGATAATACATGTTTAAAGTTAGATATAATTTATCCTTTTTTAAATACTTCTAAAAATTGAAACTTTACGTACAAAAGTTTAGGCGTGATTATTAATTGAAGTTATTTAACTTATGAATAATTTTTTTTAGAAAACGACGATTTATTGTTTTTTGATGATTGTCGCAAAATGAAGCTTACGATATCTGTTAATGATCCTTCAATATTTCAAGTACTTGGAACATCAGGTTTGTTGTTTACGTGGCGACTGATGATACTAATGTTATTTTTAAAGGGCATATGACTCCAAAAATTTACTATTCTAATTATATTTTCGTTCAACAGAACTTTAAAAATGGCAGTGTGTTTTGTAGAACTGTTTATGCATATCGTAGATATTGCGATATTAAAGTTTTTGTAATAACCGATTTACACAACTTTCCACGTCATTTTGCACAATGAGTTGATACAAGGTTTCAAACATCCTTTAGTTTCAAGGCAACTTTTTGTCAAAATTATGAGGAAATTTTTTTATATCATTAACTCCTCACAATAAAAGAAGCTTCTGTTCGGTTAACAGCAAGTATACCTGCTCTGTCAAATTTTCATTATGCAATGTGACGAAAACACGTTTTTGTAAAGCGTCCATTACACAAACTACAGTATCTTGAGAGTGAAACGTGATGTGAATAAAGTTATGTTCAATGAAAATATAATAATAGCACAATTTTCGAGTCGTACATTTTGAATGACTTTACGTTTATTTAAGATAAAGTAGATGATTTTCTAACTCCTGGAGATACATCAGTGTACCGTAACGCTTTTTAACGATCGTCTCAATATTACTAATGTTTCAATTTTCAATATGAACATAATAGCCCAACATAAGACTTTTAAAAAAGCAATCACAATAATAAAATATAAGGTTTTTTCATTAATAACGTTTCGTCTTTAACTTAAGACATCTTCAGATTATATGAGATAAATTATATACGTAAGGTTTTAAATACAAGCATATATTACAGGGTGTTAAATTACATGTGAGTGGAGTAGGAAGTTTAGATGACGGAATTAAGGGAGAATGGCGGTATATTAAAGAAGGTGAAGGGGGATTGAGTTGCCTTGTTAAGTGTTAAGAGAGGGTTTAAGTTTGGATATATGAAGGCTTTCATGAATCATAAGGTCATAATTGTCGGAGGAGGAAGAGAGAATTGAGAAGTCATTAAAATTAGTAGAGTGAGATGTATTTCTTATTTGGAAAGAACTGCAGATGGTGGTGGACATAAGGAAGGTTTCTCTGTTAAGGTAGGGATTCCCAAGTGTTCCGATTTCTTGTGTGTAAGTGGCGCGTGGTTTGACCCACATACGATGCAGAGCAGCATCGACACCTAAATGAGTATACAATACCAGATCTCAGGAGCTTGGGAACCCTATCTTTAAAAGGAAAGAAAGAGGAGAGACGCCTGGAAGAACGAAAAACAAAGCGAACGTTGATATGAGGAAAGGCAGCATTGCAGAGTCGAGTGATTTGAGTGCGAATCTGAAGACATTGTAGGTCAGTGAATCGGAGACAGAAGTACATGATTTTCTTAGGAGCATTATCTTACTTCTGTCTACACTTTCACTGGCGTCATTTACACACCAGAATATCGGAACACTTGGGAATCTCTCCCTTAACAGAGAAACCTTCCTTATGTCCACAACCATCTGCAGTTCTTTCCATATAAGAAATACATCTCATTCTGCCGATTTTAATGACTTCTCAATTCTCTCTTCCTCCTTCCTAATGTAATTTAACACCCTGTAATATATGCTCGTATTTAAAACCTTATGTATATAATTTATCTCATATAATCTGAAGTTATCTTAAATTAAAGACGAAACGTTATTAATAAAAAAACCTTTTATTTATTATTGTGATGGCTTTTAAAAGTCTTATGTTGGGCTATTATGTTCATATTGAAAATTTGCTTTCCGCCTGGCAAATCTCTGGCCAGGATTTTAATGTTTAAATGTTTATTTTTGATGAGTTTGATGATAACTCCTGGTTGTACATCAGCGTGCCTCAAAGCTTTGCGTCAAGGATATGTCATTGTCACAGCTGTATATCAATATAAAATATTAATATTAAAGCAACTGTTACAGTAGCTGCGTATTTACCACTTAAAGTAAGGAAAATTCATCTACTTTTCTCTAACATTTTATTTACTGTTTCGTTTTACTGTCAAATTTCAATCCCCTCAATGAGAAATCTCACACCATTATTGTCACGTTATAAATGTATTATCTTTAGGCTCTCGATCCTGTTGACGTTGCTGTTGTCACCCTTGGTTCAGCAAAGAACTTTATCATACAAGGTGGACCTCAACCATGGGTTCATGGTAGATCAACACATTATGAGAAAGGTACGTAACCACGTCATTTATGGTTTCATGTCAGATCTACACATGAGAAAGTTAATCACATCCATTGTATTACTTTAGTAACTAATAATATATTTTGTACTTCATTGAACTCTGAGAAGTTAGCTCTGATCTCAATAAGAACTGATGTGATACCACAACATCCGTTTGGTGAACAAAGCTCTCTACATTATTATCACGTGACTTGTAAGGAGTTCGGGGAACAAAATATTGTGGTTACAATTGGCAATAATCCATCAGAAACTAATAACTATCCAGCGAGCTCTATTATCACTTTGAGATTTGCCTGCATGATACCTGCCACCCTCAACTCTGAACCAGATGTCCAACTACCCGAGATCACGGATCGTACGTTCAGTTTACAGGATTGTCAGAGTCCTAATAAGGAGGAATTTGTTACGTATAATTAGCAATTGTTCATTTGTTTGGTATCTCTAGAGAAACATAAATGTTTTGTAACTTTTAATGAAAAAATTTTTTTCTGTATACATAAATGAGGAGAACGAAAATTGTCATGTTAAGGATGTGTCAAATATAGATTTAATAAAATACAAATATGTTTGCAATGTATTGACTATACCGCAGCATTATCTATTTACTGCATGTTCTATTATTGAATTCATTATTCATGTATCTACAGTTACCATGTTTGTTATATTTAGTTCCACGTACGAAGTCGTCAAGATTTGAAACTTCGTATTTCATTGAGAGACAATAAAAATCGTTTGTTTGATAAATTTACGTCACTTGAAATTATTTGGACAAGCAGCAACTATGATATGGCTTCATTTGATCGCAGTAATGAAACTGACACTGAAATGACCTATGAAGAAGATATGTTTGGGCCGTACATGAAAATGATTTGTAAGTGATAAACATTCGTGTGATGTTTAAATTATGCGAATATTAAAGTGCAAGTAGATATGTCATAGCAAGGCAATAAAACCAAATGAATTACATACCTATAGTGTACTTTTATGCTAGAAGCTTAAAAGCTTTTTAGAAATTAGAAAGTTATTGGATTATATTACATTTATATCATCAATCTCATGAAAAGAAATGTAGAAAAGCTTTGAAAAAAAAGATTTCTTTAAAAAGCAGCAATAATGCATATGATAAATCTCCATTCTGTACTCCATAGGTAAATAAGCCAAAACTGTTTCTTAAAGCAAAAACTGTAATAATGAAGAAGTATACAGTACAGAAACTTTAAAGGTTTCATCACTGAATCTTCAATTCTTCAGTATAGTGCACTAGATATTAGTAACATTCAAACAACACTAAAACATTTTGATAAAGATATGATATAATTTAAACATTAAGTTATATAAAACCCAATGGCTTATACAGTTTGATGCTTCAAATCTGCATCGAGTCATCATCAATCTCAGTACAAATGTTTACATAGACACAAACTTTATGGCCTTCCCATTTTATATGTTTGTGAATTGACATTTCATTAAGCATCAAAACACACACAACCTTCTTGCCATCTTTCTTTGGTTCATGAACTTTAACTTCAAAGCATACAATGCATCATTAGTGAATCCATTGTCTCCATCCATAGAATTTGACCATGATCAAATTAAACAACTCTGGATAGGGCAGTCAATAAATCAATTATCTTTACAGCATTATAATTTTTTTAATACTCTGCCTGGTCAATAACATCTTCCAGTCATCTTTACTCCTTGTTCTTCCCTGCACGTTGTCAGCAAATAGAACATAACAAGCTCTGCTCCAAATCATGAGTACTGTTAGGGCTGATCATTTCTTTTTGATACTTACTCTGTTACGAACGTCCCGACTAATAATAAAATGGCCGCTTTTGGTTCAATTGCTCGTAACAAAAGGAGTAAAACCTTGTGGAGAAGTTGTTGTCAATTCTTAAAATATTTATTTAATATACTAATAATTTTGATATAATCTTTATAACATAAATGTTTAAATGTTCAAACTTATCTAGACAACTGCTTTCAGACTTTCAGTGACTCTTTCGTTGATGGATAGGATATATATCTGTATTTGATTCTTTTCTTAAATAGTTCGTCTTCTTTTATATGAGCTTTCTTCTGATGTGGACTTATACTAAGCACCAACATAACTACAACGTTCGATTTTCGGCTTATATATGATTGCACAATGACGTACGATTAACAGCTTGTGCGTAAACTGTGGTCAGTTGATTAACCATGTATCCTGTAAGTTGTTTGTGGTCAGTAGGTTGACCACGTCCTATACGTAAGCTTTCCTGTTATTGTGGTTAACATACACATGCATGTATGAGTAAGGCATTTTACTAATTAGTTAACTAATAATATTTACGTATATACCAATAATAAGTATCATTTACATGATTATGTATTATCATGTAACACCCTTCCCCTTAAAAAAAAAGAAAGATTGAAAAGCTTTCTTTAAGATAATAATGTTCTAAGGTCGTGAGAGACAATCAGCGATGAGGTTGTCTCTACCTTTAATGTGTTTGACATCATACGCATTGAATGGTACAGTCGTTGCAGTCATTATTCATAGCATTTCCATTATTGAAAGCGTAAATCGTAGTATTTTGAAAGTCTGTTCTTGATTCTTCAATTAATAACCCAGATGTAGAAATCTACAAAAAAAAGATAATACTGTATTTAAAACTGTTGCATTATCATAAAAAGGGGAATATGAGAAGGCAATGTAATAAGCCTGAAAAAATAACTTACCTTTATCGTATTTGCTGATGATCTTATTTACATACATTATACATACAGTGATTATGGCCATGAAATTGATTTGTTGTATAGGACTGATTACACATTAATATTAAATAAAGTAGCTGTAAAATTTGTTCATTAAAAAGCACTGCTATAAGAAGTCTGTGCTAAACTATCTAAGCGGTTTTCCTCTTCAATCCTGTATTGTAAATTGGCTGATGATTTCAAGCTTGTTAATCGCTCGTAAGTCATTAGTTCAATGACACAAGATTATACATTCATTTTGACTCTGAAGATGACTACCGCTAAGGTTGTCGAAACGTCAGTCAACAACAACAAAAATAGTCCGTCTCAGGACTATACGTAACAGCAGTGGCGTAGCTAGGAAAAATAGTCACTCCCGCCAATCCATCTCACGCCGGAGGCGCGACCCCACTAGGGGGCTCCCCCGGAAAATTTTGAAATCCAGAGCCTTGGAAACAGCATTTCCTGCGATTTCGAGGGCGAATTATTTGTTGTACAATAATTTATAAAAACCCATTTTTGTTAGCTGCATTCTTAATGTGGCAATCGTTGAAACTGCAACTAGTTAAAAAGGTACTAAAGGTGGCTCAGAGAAACGTTACGCAGGAGACAATTGTCCCCTAAAACATAATTTACTCATCACTGCCCCTGCATAAACAGAAGAAATTTGTATTAGCACAAAAAATAATATAGTATACGACACTTCTAAAGTGCATAGAGAGAGATTTTCTTAGCATTCTACTTGTTAGTTTAAACTTGTTTAGATTGGGGCAAGTAGACAGGGATGGCTTTATTCTTTAAGTTATGCTTAATTTTCTCAATGAAGTACCATGTATTATACGAACAAATATCAAAACATACTATACTCATCATTTATAAAGAAAGGCCAGCCTCCTGGGTTTTCTACAAATTTTCAACCACCTCGTTATGCAACACCTCTGATTCCTCTTTCTTTTCAATGATATCTTTGTGAATAGATATTCTACACAAAGAGCTAAGCCGACCTTGACCCATTCTATTTCTTAAATAGCTTTTACCCTTTTAAGCAAGAAAACGACCTCTCTACTGAAGCACTTGCCACTGCCAACACACCATTCAATTTTAACAAATTTACCACTTGACCTAAACTCGACTGGAGATTAAATTTGAAGATGTATTTAAGAACCTCATTACTGCACTCTTTGTGAAAGTCCTTGTCGTTGTAAATGAAGGAAAGTTGACTCTCCAAAGTTTGGATGTCAAAAGAGGACTATACTTATCTTTAAGAAGATTGATCTTCTCCTGTGGAACTATGCCCTTCCATGTAGTAAATAGTTTAGGATTTACAAGGTCTAAAAACTCGAACTGATTAATATCTTGAAATCGTTCACTTAACATGCCTTTAATGGAATCAATGATCTCAAAATAAAGCTGTTTGTAATTGTATCTACTATCTGCTCTGGTTGCTGGTGGGCCTACTTTTCTAGTGCAGTTTGGTAAAACTCGGTGAAAGCTTGATCTGTGCGAAGTGACACAATAAACTGCTTGAAATTGTCAATCTTGCTTATGCCATAGTTAAAATGGGTTTCCCTATTTTGAAGAATGGAATACAAAATTGTGGACTGTTCTAAAATCCTGTAAAAAACACACACTAGAAAACAAAAGAGAAAGCTATCAAGATAATGCAGTAAGCCACTTATTTTACTTAATGACTCATCATCCCACCCAGCTGGTTGTTCAAGTACCCCTCAAAAATATCTAAAAGTTTTTCATAGTTTTGTGCAATACATTGATTAATCTAGAGCGATAATACCATCTTGTTTCACCAGGGGCAGGAAACTCAAGGTTGTTAGATGTGAGAAAAGCTTTTCTTTTTGGGGCATTGCTTGTAAATGTGCTGAATGTAGCTATATTAATAAAAAAGATTTTAACTGGAGAAATTGATGAGGCTGACTGGCATAGGACCAGGTTCAATCTATGAGCTGCACAATGAACAAAATGAGCAAAAGGATACTCTTGTCGAACCAATGCTTGAACACCATTGATATGGCCAGACATCACAGAAGCACCATCATATGTTTGTAAAACCAGTTTTTCTTTTATATTAGAATACTCACCAAGTTTATCTTTGACAACTTGTGATATTGCTGTGGCATTTCTGTTCATACTTACATCCACAAATCCTAATTGCCTCTCCATAATTTCACTTGCTTTGTCAAACCGAGCAATAACACTTAGCTGCTCTTTGGTGGAGACATCAGATGCTTCATCAACCTGAATACTCATAAATGTGCAATCATTTATTTCCTTTCTGATTTCATCTTCAATAATTGAATCAAGACAGCTGATAAGATCATTTTGAATTTCTGGGGAGACTCCGGTAAATCTTCTGTCACCAACTATATCAGATTCTGCTAGTCTACTGTGCAGTCGACGCTCAAATACAGAATCAAACTTAGCAAAACATTCGAGCAACTCTCTATAATTACCTTTGTTCAAGCTACCTTCGGACTCATTGTGACTCTTGCTTTGACAAATACAGCACGGCCTCAGTAACAGTTTTTAAAATTTCTCGATTTTGTCTTACCTCCTCATTGTGACGCTGAATCTCATTTCTTCTAGCGAGGGACATAAGACAATCAATTCGTTCACTAGCTCCATACGTTTTCCATGTCTTAAATGCAGTCAAATGCGATTTAGATTTTTCATGCTTCTTAGCATCAGACATAATACTCCGCATATCGTTGTAGCCATTCTTAGTCCACGATGGCGATGTTTTTGGGGAAAACATTAGACATGGCCAACAAAACACTTTCTGCAAGGTTGTACTGCCACACAGCCAGTCCTTCGCCTCATACCAATCTCTCTGAAATGCTCTTCCCTTATTTTGGATAGTTAAATCAGGAGTAGGCCGTTCATGAACGATAACATTCTGTTCGACCGACGATCGAGCAGAGAACGGTTTAGCTAATAAGCTATTTACTAAATCAACATCAGTTGAGCAAATTGCAGTCGCACTTGAAGCCATTGTGTCATACACAAATACAAAATAGCAATTTGAGAGTAAACACAATGGAAAATTAATACCGACAATGACACGTAATTTGATAATCACTAATCGCTGTACTCGTATTAAAAGGTCGAATAATTACAACCTCCGCCAATTTAAAATAGCGGGAGTTCGACTATAAAAACAGCAGATTTGAGCATGCGTCAAGTCCCTTAGCCAACCAGAATTCAAAACTTCTTATATAGAATTATATTGTATGTTCCGCCCTCTGAAGATGGGCGGAATACGTGGAGAAACGCGCGAGTATGCAATGTGCGAGAAAAGGCGGTTGCTAGGTTACATAACAAATCTTGAGATTTTGCTGTATTACGATTACGAACCACCTAATAAAAGCGTAAATATGAACGAATAAAACATAATATTACAAATTGTTCGTGAAATAATGTATATCTTATGTCCAAATAGAATATTTATTATTTTTTTGGGAAATTTCTACTCCCGCCGGGCGGGAGTAGCGGGACCGCTAGCTACGCCACTGCGTAACAGTGCAACTCTCATTTAATTCAAATATATATAATGTACATTTATTTCATGTAGCACGTTTTGAAAGCATTATTTATACGTTGTTTATTTTATCGCTTTCATAAATATGTATTTCCTAGGTGAAAGTGTTTCAAAAAGCGCTCAAATACTGGCAAATCGCATCGACAAAATATCTATAACAAATTCAACTAAAACATACAAATGAATGTAGTATAAAAGTAAAATACCTTTTCAGCATTTAAATCCATTAAATGGTTGCCCCAAAGTCCACACAAATACAAGGAAAAATAAACGCAAATATCAATGTATTGAAGAAATTGTGTTGTTTCTCATTTGTTGACCAGAAAATAGTCGTATGTCACTCGTATGTACTCGTATGTTACTCGTATGTACTCGTATGTACTCGTGTGGTGTTTTAGTCACGATCGTTTAATCATAGCATTCCAATTTCTATCCAATCGGCATGCACAAACGACACACAGTTCACCTTATATGGAGGTGAGTGCTTCAATGCTCAATCGATTCTCGTCAGTCATACGTTTTCATCATAAAATTAAAAGATAAATTCCTTGCCATTTTGAATGAAAACATTTTTTTGATTCTTTTAAATGTCTTGATTGTTTTGATTCTTTTGAGTTTTTAAAATGCTTTTTGATTAAAAGTATGATACCTTGTTTACTCAACCGAACAATCGTCCGCATGTTTACAAACGTAGAAAACGATTTGCGGTCATCGGTTCTGTAACGGATGCATGAATCAGCACATACGGTAAGCTTTTACGTGCTCCTTTATGGCATTTACTGTCACTGATGTGTTTTTTTTTTCGGAAACTTTTAATGCAATTTCATCAAAGCTTTCGACCTGAACGCAAAAAAATGTTTTAAAACTATAAGTACTTTATGTACTTAATTACAGAAAATATACTAGGCAGTATATTATCATGGGTGTATATAACAAGTATATATATATATATTATTATCTAAGTATATTATTATCATGTTATTATTGTACATATACTATAAGTACTTATAAAACATATGTTTTATAAGTACTATACCCTACCCTTAGCCTTCGCATAATTTACAAATGCACTTATACATGGACGCTAATATAGCGGGGGAGGGGGTGAGGCAGAAGTATTGCATGGACTATATTATACGTACGTACGTACTGAAGTGATCTATAAACATTACCCAAGTAAATGGGCTTATCTACGGGTCAGAGTATAAGCGGTAGGGCTTTTCTGTGAAAGTGAGTTGAGTTTCACGATTTTTCGAAAGCTTTGATGAAATTGCATTAAAAGTTTCCGAAAAAAAAACACATCAGTGACAGTAAATGCCATAAAGGAGCACGTAAAAGCTTACCGTATGTGCTGATTCATGCATCCGTTACAGAACCGATGACCGCAAATCGTTTTATCATATTATATATAGTATCATATGATATATACTTGTATATATACAGTATATATCATTAACAATAATATACCAATAATAACAGCTTATATTTATATACATAAATGTATAGTATCATGGGTGACATATCATATGTCACCCATGAATGATGAGGACAAGGTAAGTTATTATCTCTATCAAAACGTCTTTGCAGTCTGAATGCCATAACATGTGATAACATGTGTTTCAAATGTACCTAGTTTAATATGGCTGTGACAGTCATAGATATATGGGATGTTTATGCTTGATTTTCCAATGAATTGTATTAATATACCAAACAACTAAGCGAAATGTAAATGTCTGACATGATAGGGCAAAACCTGCAAAGTATCTTCAGAAAATCTAATCTAAACCAAAGCAACCACTACTAAATCATTCCAGATCCATCTCTGTATTCAGCAGATGTTTCTGCCACTGTTAATGTCTCACTATGTACACCTTTGTCTTGTTACCGCAGTTGTATTTTGATTACCCATAAAGGAAACCTGCTAGCTCCAAAGATGTTTTCGGACGCGATATGCCTGACAACCTTGCACCAATATTAGAAAGACGATCGCCCTGACTAATCGTGGGTTTGGTTTTATAAGTGTCGCCGTATAAAGTCGCTCATTGTGGATTCATTTATTATTCATTTAGATAGCCATGAAGATTAAGAAATAAATGGCTATCTTAATCTTCATGGCTATCTTAATCTTCATGGCTATCTTCTACAATCCTGTCGATTTCTTCATTAGAAAGAACGCAGGAAACCTCGGGAATAGCACTGTTACCTCGGAAATACACACAAAAAAATTAGAAGAAAATCCCCTTCACAACCATATGGTTCGTGTCTATAGCGTTAAAGTAAGAAAAAAAAGTGAACAAAAACGAAGACGGCTCGGAACCAGCATTTGAAAGAAGTTTCAGCGAAGGAAATTATGTTAAGACATTTGAACAGTTGAAAAAAGTTGATATGGCGGAGTTGTTCTCTAGTATCTTATGCTATCACTCAATTCAAACAAACAAAAGCAAAGAATTCATTGAATTGCACGTAAGAATACGTTATTATCGCAAATACTCTAACTTCATTGCTTCAAAGCAATATTGCATGGCATTTTGAGGTAGCAAAAATATCAAGATGACAAAATTTTTAAGCAAAATTTTACCACTAGTACTGTCAACTTTAATACATTTCATTGTTCAATGTTTATTGTGGGCTCTAGAACTCCTTATGTCGTAAATGAAATTATAATAACAGCATGCACACATGTCAAATAGCAACAATTTCAATAAATTCATACGTTGATTAATTGCTTCCAAGCTTTTAATGAGTATAGATACATTGGTCGCTACGGAATACAAAAAAATCACCGAAACTACTGAAGTATATTCCCTAGTTCCTATGGAGATATTTAGTGTGAAAGTTGTAATGGTGTCTACAAATACAACAGTGTCAGCCTATGTTATATAGTCCCAAGTCTATAAACACAATTCAGTCAACAATGTTTTAGATTAATACCTTAACACTAAAAATGATATTCTCGACTTTCCTTTACACAATTTACCAGTGTGAGGTGTGGAGCCTAAGTAGTGTATGTCTAGCGAGCTGAGTGTGTATAGCCTGAATAATTGCATAGCCTAAATAGGTGCTAACTTCATTGATCAGAGATAATGGAAACGAACAAATTTTGGCAGACATCGCGCGGCTGCTAATGTGTTAATTGTCACGAAAAGAAACTTAAATAGTATAATTATTTCAAATTTTTTTCGAAATTATTTTGGCTGATTTAACAATATGGTTATTAATGCAAAATATTGAATGACGAAATTGCTGGGTAAGAAACAGTGCTAAGTTTTTTATGGCAAAAATGTATAAGACTATTAAACGAGATGCAACGAAATCAACGTTTTCAACCAAATGCTGACACATTAAAAGACACGCAGGTGAAATATTACGTAATTCTTTTATGCCCATACTGATTTTGTGTCAAAAGCAGTCAAAACGTATGCAATTCACCATTCCTGAAGTACTTTATCTCAATTTTTAAATTGGTGGTAAATTTTCCATTGCACGTTCCGTAGTAATGTACTTGACGATCCTGATGTGTTTCATTAGTGACGCCAGAAATGATTTTAATTGTGATCATCGACGCGAATCAAGATTTAATAATAAATCCCTGTGACGTCTTGATGATGGATTGCGTGCATTATTAGTTTTCTTTATTAAGTAGAGCAGCCATTAAAGAGAGAGAAAATTCTAGTCAAAATACATTTATCACTATACTTTTTTCATCATAATTTCTCTTATGAGCTTACTTTGCATTTATCAAAAGTAATGTACGACTACCTACTTTTCCTTCTTTGATTTAACCTTATCAGCTTGTTGGATACGTGAATGAAAAATTAGTTAAGCATTTAAAATATTCCTCCAATCAATTCCTTCTCCCCCTTTGCTTTGAAGAGGACAAAAATCTCTTTATAAAACTCAACTCCCGCAAAGATATTTTGAAATAGTTAACATTTTAAATTTCATCAAAGTTATATATCAATGTTGCAAAACATTGTTCGACTGATTTTGAAGGTTTTAATCGAACGGAAGCAAAACTGGTGACGAAGTCGTAGTTCGCACAAATTTACGGTAGGTCATAAAACTTTAATTGTGTTGTAATGAATTAGTATACAATTCAGGGCACGTAATCATAGTGCTAAGAAAGTAGCGTAGCGTACAAACGTATCTTTCATTCGCCAAGAGCCTGTCTTTAAACAGTATGGCCAATTTGGCAACCATGAAAACGCGAAAGAATTAAATCAGGCGACAACCTAGAAATAACTCCAGTTGAGGTTTTATTAACAACATCATTCCATCACCATAAGTAATGATACGATTTATAAAATTTCCGCCTGGAATCTTTAAACTTGACTGAAGTATTTTCAGTTATTACTTTCATTCATTTGGTCATGTATTCTTGAGTTGGTCATTTCAGTGGGGCAGCACTCATTAGGCATAGTTAGTTCGCAAGTCGACACACAGATGGTTGGTCCCAGATAATAGCCAACGGCCTACATGCGCACAATAGTAAGGAAACGAGAAAATTGAATAAATATATGTAGGAACTGCAGAAAATTAGAAAACATAAATCATAGCATCCAGCACTCGATGACAACAGTCAACATGGACCATTGCACAAAATGTGCCTTATATTTCCGATCACGACATTGAATGAGCTCATCGTATAAGCAAATGGGTTTGTTTTTGAACATGTGATAAGTAATTGGCAACTTTTCTATAATAATATGCATTACCTTCGTAGCTACAATGACAACTTTTAATTTCGCTTTACTATTGTTCTTCGACATATTTGTTTTCTTTTTTGAAATCGCGTAAATACATCAGATGCATTATTTACACACAGCGGTTTGTCTTTCACGACAAATGTTCCATATATCGGAAGAATCACTTAATATGGCGTAAGTTTCGGCCCGACAAATCGTTTTGTAAAAGCATAAGTATTATATTTGCTTAAACCTAGATAAAGCTTTGAGAATGTTATTTGGTGAAGAAAACTACAAGAACTGTGGCTGTTTTGAACAATGTGCAAATCACATTGAGGAAATCAGTGGTAAGAAAAATACTTTGCTCTTGACATGATATATCACGATGACTTAGGCGTTTACTTTCTAAAACTTTAATTCATTCACAAGGTTTTCGATAGATTTATCGAGAAAGCCTAATGTTTTTATTATTTTCATAACATGGCTCATTGTACTAATTTAAACTCAAACTGTTCTTAATTTCACTACTGAGTTTTTTTTCTTAAATAACTTGAAAG